GGAAAGTGCTAAGTGACTGGCAAGGAGGAAGCATGTATTAAGTGCACACTCTGCAAATAGACATGATTTGTGTCCTGAGCAGGATGGTGCTAAGACTTCATCACACTACCAGAAGAGCGTGCGATTTAAACTTCAGGAAATGTCCATTTGCAGGACTTTCCACGGAATGTTTTTAGACCATAGTTGAACACAGGCAACTGAAACAATAGATAGTAAAAACTCTGGATAAGAGGGATTCTGCTAAACAAGAAAAAATTGAGCATCGCATTTGTTTTGCTGAAGAGGACAGCCTTAGGACGAAAGGGAACACTGCACGATTCTTTCCCAAGTATTTTGCATATCCTAGTTCTTAAATTGAATGGCTAGTATCTGCGGTGTTGCTCAATGGTAGAAAACTTGTCTAGTAGGCACAGGGACCAGGGTTCAATCTCCAGCACTGCCAAAGGAAAGAAATAAAATGAATGGTTGTTAAATGGGTGTTCACCTATCATTCTTTAAATGACTGGACACACATTTAAAATGCCAGCAAGTGCAGGTCACTTCCCCAGGGAGAGTCCATAGGGCATGGCTTATCAGAACTGGGAAGCCCCTGGGATCCCCCTGGGAGCAAGGACAGGGGAATTTCAGTATTTCCCAGTCAAAGGTGGGCAAGGGATTGCCCTCTCCCCCTCCCTCGGGGTTCTGAGGCACCCCAGAGCAGATTCAGGCTCCAGAATCTCCCAGAGCAAGGACTGGCAGCTTCTTTTCCAGAAAAGCTAGAATGGAAATCTGGGGGATCCCCAGCCCCAAGCAGCTGACCTGAATGTCACCCTTAACAGATCAGTTCTGTTCCTGTTCTGTTTTTGTTCTGAGCAGCTGCTAAGCCTATAACATCATTGCAAATAGAATCCAGGGCAAAAGCTTGGGATTTTTTTTTAAGGTGATGAGCTTGGGGGGGGGGGGTGTTACTTGGATTTTTTTTTTAATAATTTAAAATCATTTGTGTAGGTGTGTGCACACATGGGACTTGAACTCAGGGCCTATAGGCTGTCCCTGAGCTTCTTTTGCTCAAAGCTAGCACTCTCTCACTTGCCACAGCTCCACTTCCAGCTTTTGGGTAAATGATTGGGAGATGAGAGTCTCACAGACTTTCTTGCTTAATCTGGATTCAAACCATGATCCTCAGATCTCAGCTTCCTAGGTAGCTAGGATTAACCAATGTGAGCCGCCAGCACCTGGGTCCTAATAACTTTTCATCATTTGATAATTCTCTTAATAATATTTTTAATATGGATACTGGAAATAGTGTTGTCAATTACGACCATGAGTAAACAACAATTACAGGTGGGCACGGCGGCACATACCTGGAATCTCAGATACTGGGGAGGCAAAGACAGGAAGATAAAGCCAGCTCAGGCAAAAGTGCAAGGCCCTTTCTGGGGGCGGGGGGACTAAAAAAGCAAAAGGACTAGGGGTGTGGTGGCATATTGTTTTCAGAACAAAAGAGAACACTTTCTCCTAAAAACATGTAATTTTAGGAAAACCTCGCAGCATCTATGCCCTGGTTTCCTCGTTGTGGAGCAGAGCAGTTAGAACTGGGATCATGAAGAGCCATCTGGAGAAGGCCCCATGGCTGCCTTCCCCATAGACAAGCCAACAAGCCAGGTAGGGGGCACTCACGAACTCCCCCTTCAAGTTAGAAGAAACACCTGTCTGGGCACCTGGGACCCAGCTTCCCCCAACCCTGGCCAGCCAATGAGCAAAGCTAATTGCTAGCCCTGGAGCCTGGCAGGTACCAAGTCAGGAGTCAAGACAGGCAGGCTGTTGAGATCCCCCAGCCTCAAACAAAAATGAACTGGAAGCCCAAAGTTTCCTCAGGAGACAGGGAAACCTCTGCCCTAACCCCATTCCCAGATCTGTGACCTTGAGCACAACGCTTTCCCTCTCCACACCAATCCTACAGGGCTATCTCGGCTCACCCTGCTCAACCTTGACCTTGGAGCCACCACCCCAGCTGAGGAGTATGCCCTGGGAAGGGAGAGGCCCCTGGTCCCTCCCTGAGGTCAGGCAGTGCCTGGGGATGTCTGCAGGAGGACAGTCCTAGTGGAGTCAGAAGGGAAGCATCCGTCTGCACTGGTCCCAACGATCAGTCCCGGGCCTCAGCAGCGTGGTCACCCACCTGGAACACCACTGCCCCCAGAGCTGCCCAGCCCAGAGCCCTGTGGGGAGTGTGACTCACTTCGCGGGGGGCCATTGGAGCTAATGTTTAACTTGCCCCTCCTCTGGCAGGGCCCTTTAGCCCCAGCAGCTCTGAGCACAGGCTCTGCCCTGAGTGCCATACTGCTAAGTGGGCACCTGGGGACAGGCATGTGATAGAGGAAGGGAGACACAGCCTCTGGCCTCCCGAGGGCTCTGTGACAGGCTGGATGGCAGCTGCGGCATCCTGCCTAATGGTTCCTCTCCAGAAAGAAGTTCCAGGTCCCATCTCCAGCTTCTGACAAAGGAGCACCCACCTGGCCGGTACAGGCTGGTTCTCCACATAGGAGAACCAATCCAGGCCTCCACCCCCTGGTCCACACCCCGCTGTGGGGGAGACTGGCTTTGCTCATTTGGGTATTGTGTTCACCTCACTTGAATGGGTTTTCCCTTTGGGGAAGGAGGACTGGAAACTCCACAGTGTATATTCAGGGCCCTGAACCTACCTAGTGGATGCAAGACTGGTCTCCCTCCCCCCCCAAAAAGAAGGGCAGCCCCAAAGGACCATGGGCCTGGGTTGAATGTGTGGCCTGTAGCTGTCAAACTCTGTATCTGAGAGTGATTAGGCTCCATCCTTCGGAAATAGAAGATAGTCCTATCTACTTCTGAGGCTTAAGAAGGGGCATGGGCATAGTCCTAATAAACTATTTGACATGATATTATTATTATTACTACTACTACTGAAATATGTCACGCTTGCATGACCATGGGAAGTCACTAGCCTCTCTGTGCCTCAGTGTCCCCTCTGCACTGAGGATGGTCACTGTGCTTTGTCATGGGATAAATGATTGCAGTGTCCACAGCCATGCCTGGCATGTAGTCACGTGCTGTGCGTGGGAGCTGTCTGTCCGTGGGAGGCCCTGGTAGCCTCCTGGAGCCAGGCTGGGTCATGCAGACCTCCATGAGGAAGGAGTCAGGATACTCCAGAGACCAAGTTCCGAACCCAGGCCCTACGTATTGCTACAACTACAGAGCCCCCCACAGAGCCCCAGCTACCACAAGGGCCCCTGGAACAGGTCAGGAAGCATTGGTGCCTTCACTGGCATCTTCAAGAAGATAGATCTGAACACTGGAAGCAGCAGCAACAGCCTGATGACCTCCAGGAGTCCTCTTGTTGGGCCCTGTGCCCTTTCCTGGACAGCCATAGGCATGGGTGTGTTTAGCGCCCGTCCCCTCCTCCCAGGGGCCCTCTGCACCCATGTTGACTTTGAGTCAGTCTCTGTATTTGTCTCCAGCTTCCCTATTTATTAGTCCACTGGCAGGCTGAGATTTGGTTCTAGAACTTGGGGCCCATCTCTTGCTAAGGGCTGGGAAGAAGTAAAACAGAGGCCTGCTTTGGAGACACGCCAGCTGGAAGGAGGCCTGTGAGGCAGGGCAGGGTGGGTTTTCTTTGGCTGCCCAGGCATGAAGCCTCACCCCATCCTCTGTGGCAAGGACCAGCCCTGTCAGGTTCCCCAGCTGCATGGATGTGACTTGGGTGTGTCTGGGCCTGAGGGTGTGTGTGTGTGCATGGCAGGAGCGATCTTTGCACACCTCTACCTCTGTCCCTTGACCTGTTTGAAGCAAGAGCCCTGCTCAGAGTGCTACCTCCCTTGATGTATCCCAAGCTGCTGTACTCCACTGTTATGGTGCCTGGAGGGGACTAGTAGAGTGAACCCCGCAGTAATGGCAGTAATCAACTCTGCACCAGACTTTGGCATGTATGGTGTAGAACACATGAGGATTCAGGATACTAGCAGGGGTGAGTGAAGGGGGGGCTGCTCAGCTCAACCCTTCTACTGGTCCAACACTGAACAGTCGAAGCCAAAGGGTTCCAGGGCCCTGGACCAGCCACATCCCTGCAGGCTCAGCTCCAGAACCCCCATAACACAGCCCTGTAAAGGCCTAGAACTTGAATCTCTGCTCCTTAGGAGCACACACTGCAAAGATGGGAGGCAGACCCCACCTCTTCATTCCAGGCTTAATACCCCTCACCAAGCTTCTGATCCAGATTTCAGTGAGGTGGAGAAAGGCCTTGACCCAGAAAACAGATCTCTTGCTGCTGCCCCACCTTGGAGAAATAAATCAGTTCTAAGGAATAGACTAGGACCGAAGCCTGCTGGGAAGTAATGGGGAGGAGAGTGGAAGGGCAGGAAGGACTTGAAATGCCCCAGAGCCAGAGGTGAAGGATGGAGACACCTGGTGGCCAGGCTTGGAACTGCGGTGAGTCCCTGTGACAGCTAAAGTGTCCAAGGAACTTGATGAGCCTGGGTGACTGCAGGATGAGATACAGGACTGACAGGACCCTGTCCTGTTAGCCCAGAACAGCTGAGTACATCTGCCAGCGCCAAATGATCTAAGCTTGTGGAGATTAGGGAGCATGAAATCAGGAGGGAGATGCCTTGAGCCAGGGAGGTGGGGGGGAGAGGGGGAGTGAGTGGTAGGGAGCAGTAGGCTAGTCTCAGAGGTCAGATGAGCCATGACTCCTGAACACTGATGAAGGTCATGTGACTTGGACTGGTCAGAAGGGTCCCTGGGGACCTAAGCAAGCAGCCACCAATCCTTTTCCTTCCATTCTGACCCCGATCTCCTGACTGACAACCATGCCTAGAGCCCAGTCCTCCCTTCCCCCTGCCTCCCGACTCCTGCGTTCTCTTTCCTCTGAGTGCTCACATCAGAGCTATCAGGAAATCAGGTTTTTAATGGAGAGCGATGTCTGTGGACACAACACATCACAGTAGCGATGGTGGAGGCTGCATGGGCCTGCCGGGAAGCTGTTCTCCCTGCTCCGTCCTCAGTGTTCCGCACAGTGACTGGGCAATCCCAGTCCCAGAGCCTCGGGACAGCTGGAAATCCACTCTGCTGGAGTGAGGTCTCAGACACCAGAAGGGGAAGGGGAAGTGCCAGAAATGGCAATGCGGTGAGCAGGGCTGGAGAGAGGAGCCCGAAGGAAGGCCCCAAAATGCAGCACAGCAAGCAGGGCTGGAGGGACAGAGAGGAGACACGCTCAGTTCCAGGCAATGTGTGTGCTGCTCATGTACAATGCAGCTCCTAGTGCTCCTGCCCCCTCCACCCCCAGGGCCAAGCTTTGGCTTCTCAGCCCAAGGCCCGAGTCCCCCGCCCAGATTTCTAAGCCTTTCCCAGGCTTCTTGGCTCTCTCTCAGCCTCACCATCCTTCTCCCAAACTTGTTCCCTCCCACCATTGTGCTTTTACACTTTTGCATGCTCAACCCTTCCAACAAGCCCTTCCACATGCAGTTACCAACCTTCACTTATCAAAGAGCTCCCCCATCCAGAAAGCCCTGTGCTGCCCTGTGCTGTCTACAGAGCTTGCCCTAAGGCTAGCCTCTCTGTTCTCCCACACAGGATCTGTGAGGCCTAATTCTACTGCTCTGTCAGGTTTTCCAGACATTTCTTTGGAAGGTAGAAGGTCTTACCTCCTCTGAATGGTGTCTCTCTGGGAACAGAGACTAGGGGCACTGGGTACTTAACACAGTGTACAAAGACCTCAGCAAGAAACATTTAAAAGCACTAAGATGGCCCATATGCCAGTGGCTCACACCTGTAATCCTAGCTACTCAGGAGGCTACAATCTAAGGATCACAGTTCAAAGCCAACCCAGGCAAGAAAGTGTAAGGGGCTCTTATTTCCAATTAGCCACCAAAAAGACAGAAGTGGGGCTGTGGCTGATGGGGTAAAGCACCAGCCTTGATCAAAAAAGCTAAGGGACAGTTCCCAGTCCCTGAATTCAGGCCCTAGTACTGGCTGAATAAGTAAACACACTTCTATTGTCAGAAAAGCAGAGCTGGAGGAATCTCAGGGTTCCTCTAATCCTTTATTTCAAACTCTTACAGGCCTCAGGATCACCTAAGGAGTTGGTCCTGCCTCACATTTTCCCACTCAGCAGGTGCAGGGTAGGGCCCAGTCATTTCCACCCCCAGAAATGTAGCAGATGCTACTTGGCCCTGGGACCACTGATCTGATACAGCCCCTCATCAGATGAGGGGAGCAACAAGGGACCAGATGAGGAACCCTGGATCTCACGGTACTAGAGCAGGCCTAAGTCCATAAGAACAGCCAACTCTCCCCTGTGCATACTGGACACAGTCTACCAGCCCTTTTCCCTGAAGCCTGGTTACCCAGCAGAGCCGGAGCCCATCTCTAGGTGCCTGGCAATGGTACCTCTACTGTGAGGTTGGAGACTTGGCAGCATCAAACATCTTCTTCCGGCCTTCCATGCCAGACATGGCCTCCACATTCTTTCTCCAGTCACCCACCTCCACAGGCCGCTCCTGTGGGAAGGCCACATACATGTCAGAGAGGTAACAGGACCACCCCCCTCCGAAGCACAAGAGAAACTGGGCAGCAGAAAATCAGTCTCCTTAAAACAATAGGAAATCCCAGATAGAGAGGTATGAGGACACAGCCAGACAGGGAGACAGTTCAAGCTGAGTTTCCATGGGACACAGAAGGCTGCAGGGCTGGGGTGTTGGGGTGATCATGAGGGGGTGACAGGGCCAGTTCCTTCCCCAATACTCCACAGGCCGACTTCACCTCCAGGACCTACAACACACTAGTTAGTGTCTGACGTTCTGAAGCTCAGGGCTGCCTCTTCCATGAAGTCTCCCTGGGCCAATCTTGGGCATACGCACGTGATGAGATCCATCAGCTAAACAGATTTGTTTTTGAGTGAGTGACTGAGCTCGCTTCTCTAATTTCTGTGCTCAGATGACCCGGTAGCCATGATAAGGATCTTTCTCCTTTCCCTGTATTGACAGGGCAGTGATCAGCCCTATCATCCTCAGTCTCCACCTTGTCTTCACACAGGGAGCAAGATTTCCCCTTTATTCCTCCATCTCACTTGCTTTGTGTCCAGTCTCTTCTTCAGACTAAGTAGCCTGAAGGAAAGGGGGCAAATCTTTCTTCTGACAATGGCTTCCTAGGAGGGGCTAGAATGTTCTGGCTCATGGACTGGCTTCTAGCAGGAGAAGTAATTGTGTGAGGGGCAACAGGTAAAGGCTGTTGGGAGCAAGAGGTGGAAAGCTCTGAGGAGCAGGATCCTCACCTTCTCTGTGTCTTCCTTCTTCACAGACTTGAGGTTGGCCCGCAGGTCCATGGACACCTTGTGCTTGGAGCCCAGAAGGGCCCTGAGCATGGCATCAGCCGAGACGCGGACCCTGCGCAGGGCCGGGCGTTTGAACTTCCCACGGAGATCCAGCACCTTCAGTTTCAGGTCCTTAATCTGCAGAAAAGAAGGAGCCAGACTCAGTGAAAGAAGGAGGGTGTTGCTAGCTACATGGTCCCCTTCCTGAGGATCCAGGCCACTAGGGTTCCAGTCAGAGGCAAGCCCTCCAGCCGCAAGGCCAGACCCTCTGGGACACTGAGAACCACCCATCCCCTTGCATCAAGCACCATACGTGTGCTGACAAATGACTGAACACGTTTACAGATGAGTCTATTAGCCATCTCTGTCAGAATGAGTTAAATAGAAATGGGTGGTCCAGCAAGCTGGCACTCAGAAGGCCTGTTTGCAGTTCAGGCTGTTTCCTTTTGTTCTTGAGGCCTGAAACCTTACAGCCAACCGGTTCCTGCCCAAGGGGCCTTCACAGCAGCTCCTATCAGGTCTAGCAAGTAAAAAAAGCCCAGTCTCTAGGCCCTAGGAGGAATCGTCAGGGTGTGATTTCTGGAGGGAATTCTTTGGAGCTTAGTAATCCATAGATCATCCCCTCTCAACACATGCTCACAGAAGCAGCCCACCAGCAGCAGGAGTCTTGCTCTCCTCCCTCCCCCCTCACCCCCTCCCTCCCCCTCCCCCCTGCCTGGAAGCCAGGTCTGTACAGGTCAATGTTTGCCCTCCCCAAGAATTCTGAGCAGTGGAATGGGAGTCAGAAGCCAGCATGCGTGCCAGGACCCTTAACATGCAACCTGGGCTGAGTTGTTAGTCTCTCTAAAGCTCAGTGTCCTCATCTGCAAGGTGCACGAAACAACCCCCCACTGTACCCACAGGCAAGCAGGGAGGATCAAAGCAAGATGCACATGAAAGCCCTTCACAGAGGTAAGATGTCATTAGTGGGCATCTGACTACTTGTGTGGGTGAATAAAGAAGACAGCTTTCTGAAGTGCCCACGTGGCAGATGGGGAGGAAGTTTGTGCTTTTCATGTGCAATTATCCTCCAGGTCCATCTCCAGCCCTGTGGGGTGAGGGTGGAGAAGCTCAGCTTCCTACTCAGTGGCCAACTCCCAGGCTGTGCAGGAGTGGGGGCCCACAACAGTGCCTTCCTCACCTCACCCAGACCGGTCCGGCGCCCCCTTCCTCAGGCTCACCTCTCTGGTGTTGTGAAGGCATTTAGCCTCGATGTCATAACGCTCCTCATCCACCACCTCCACCTTGGCATGCAGCTCCCGGCACAGGTCCTGGCCGAGGAAGATTGGGGGTGGGGAGTGGAAAAGAGGTGCAGATTGCCACTAGTCTCCAGCCTCCATTTTCAGCCTCCATTCCCAGCCTCCCCTTTATTCAGAGGCTCAAATTGTGGGTCCTTTGTCTTCCTTTCTGTTCTACTTGTTCTCTCTCTCTCTCTCTCTCTCTCTCTCTCTCTCTCTTTCTCTTTCTCTCTGTAAGAGTCTGAGAGACAGAAACAGAGACAGGTGTGTGTGTGTGTGTGTGTGTGTGTGTGTGTGTGAGAGAGAGAGAGAGAGAGAGAGAGAGAGAGAGAACTGGAGCTTGATCTCAGGGCCTTGAGCTTTCATTTGGCATTTTCCATTCAAGGCTGACACTCTACCACTCGAGCTACTGTACACTTCACTTCCTTTTTTTTATGGTTAAATGGAGATAAAAGTCTCATGGACTTTCCTGTCCCCGCTGACATCTAACTTCCAACCTCAGATCTCAGTTTCCTGAGTAGCTCTGATTATAGGCATGGTCCACTCACCAGCACCTGGGTCTACTTGTTTTCTTTAAAAAAGAAAGAAAGAAAGCTAAACTAGTTTCCAGATCATAAATGTAATATAAGTTAAATGTGGAAAATTTGAAAATTATGTATTAAACAAAAACTAGCAAAACATTAGCAAGAACTTGTGTCCAAAAAAATTATATAACATCCAAAAGATAAAAATAATGACAGCTACTACCATGGTGACACATAATATCTTCCCTTTCACTCTCTTTTCTCTACAATCTCCATCACTTAAACTGTTACAATGTTTTGTTTTGTTTTAAGTTAAAGACCTCTCAGGAAAAAGTGTAAAAAAATGCACCTTTCCAGAGTCCAGCCCACATCCGGGATCCGTGCCATCCCATTGGCTGAAGTGAAGCCTCATCCCGCCCACACACCCCACTCCTGCCATCTGAATGGCTAACGTAAGTCAGAGTCCCGCCCACGTCCCAGCTCCGTGCCTTCCCACTGTAATGGAGCCAGACCCCAGGCTTTTCCTAGTCCCAGGAAGTCCCTTCTCCGCTCTAAGACTGCCCCTGCCTGTAACATGGAAGCCAACAGCAGCACCTCCCTGAGAATTGGAAAAGGAAGAAAGCCCTCTGAGCTGGGAGCTCCGGCCGCGGGCGCACCTGCAGGGATGCCCCGCCCTCCCGGCCCCGCCCCTCCGCGGAGGCCCCGCCCCTCCGCGGAGGCCCCGCCCCCGCCGGGCTCACCTGCAGGGCGCTGAGCGACAGGCCGCGGGTCTGCAGCGTGGGGATGCGCTCCGCCAGGTAGCGCTCCTTCTCGGCCTCGCGCTCCTCGTGCTCCTGCTCCCAGCACTCCTTGGCCTTGGCCAGCATCAGGCTCTGCACGGGACACACCCGCTGAGCCAGCTCCACAGGCAGATGGTGTCACACACGTGTGTGCGCACACACTCACACACATCCTCCAGAGCTGTTCCCCTCAGCCTTTCTCTGTCTCCCAAGAGGCTTCCCACCCCGAGGCTGGCTGGTCTCCACGACCTTCCAGGCTCAGAGCAGCCCACCTCCAAGTACTCTGATCCTTTGAGCCTGCCTCTTTGCTTGGTCTGCTTCCTTTCCACATCCTGACCCTCCAACCCCTCAGTCTGCACCGCAGTTACCAAGACTGAGAACGGGAAAGGGAAGAATACCTTGTAGATTCCAGAGCTGGGAGCTCCCCCGGTGCCCCCTCCCCCACGGAGCCCCCCATGTCTCACAGATCCCCCTCCCCTTGGGGTGGCAGCCAGCCTCACCTTCAGCATGAGCTTTCGGGAGGCAGTGATCTTGGATTTCCTCTGAGATTTAAAAAAGAGAAAGCAAGAAAGCAAAGAGGGAAGGAAGGAAGGAGGGAAGGAAGGAAGGAAGGAAGGAAGAAGGGAGGGAGAGAGGGGAAGGAAGAGAAGGGAAGGGAAGGGAAGGGAATGGAGAAGAAAAGGAAAGGAAAGGAAAGGAAAGGAAAGATGTAATTCTGGTCCAGACCAGGACAATAACACCTAGGCTTCACCATCATTACCCTGAACCCTCTGCTCACCTTAGGGGGATATAATTCCTCAAATTCATAGAATTTCCAAGTATAATTTGTGATATAATTCCTCAAATTCAGAGAAGGCTGTGGTCAGCTGCTTTGACCTAGGGCCTAAACCTACACTCCTCACCAGCTAGTGAGGTAAGGGAGTGGTAATGTAGCATTATCTTGATGCTCTGTCAAGCCAGGGATGCTATGAACTGCCCAAATCAATGGAGCATATCATGAGGCGTGAAAATGCTAAGATACGAAGATGCTTTCCTCTTCTTATCAAATTAGTAGACATATTCTTGCTAACCAGTTTTGTGTGTGTGTGTGTGTATGTGTTTGTGTGCTGGTATTGGATCTTGAACTCAGGGCCTCTTGATTATGTTTAGCTTTTTTGCTCAAGGTTGGTGTTTTATCACTTGAACCACAGCTCCACTTCTACCAGTTATCTTCTAATAGTTCTTAGTAAGCACGGGCCCTGTGGCCATGGCCCCTCAGCAGAGGTGAAGGTCACAGAGTTTCCCATCACTAACTAATGAGCCTGTGATACCTCCAAGCCCCCCTGTCTCTGCTGGTCATAGGCAGACTCTTCTTGTTGGTCCCCATGAGCATCCTGCCTACTTCTAAGATGCTGGCACTGGGCAGAAGCAGAGATCTAGTTTGTTACTATAGTGTAAAATGTAGACATGACCAAGAGTTAAGTGAGAAGTTATGGGAGACAATAAATGAGCTTTTAACACAGGCAATGTCCACCTTTTTTGTTTTTGAAACAGGGTTTCTCCATACATACACTGGCCTTAAACTCTCTACACAGCCCCAGCAGGCCTCAAACTTGAAATCCACCTGCCAGAGCCTCCTAAGTGCTGGGATTACAGGCATGTGCCACCACACCCCATTCACGACATGCACTTCTCATAAGACTACTGAGCGTGGTTTGTTTTTTCATCTCTGAAAGCCTAGACTTTCACAACATCTCAGATGGCACAACTTCGAAAGAATTGGCCTGTTGGTGTAGCCATCGCTGCCCATGTTCACACACTGAGATGTTCCCCGGGGAACATGGATCCTGTTGCAGTCTTTTCTTCTCCACCATTCAGTGTGCTTATGGCTCCCTCGTCCGCCCATCAGTCAGTGGGGCCTCACTTTAACAGGAATCACAGCACAACTTTGAGATTCCTACGACTACTGAAGAATAACACATTGTTTTCTCACTGGGAATCTCTGGGCCATGTGTCCCCTTCCATCAAGACATCTCATTGCCACCCTTACTGTCCAGAGTCCCCAGCTTCCCCTAGCCCCCATCCCTGGGCCACACATAGGCTGAACAGCAGCCTGAATAAACCTGCATCACACAAGTTGCTGTGTCAGGAAAGCTTAGAACCCATCTTGGCTCTTCTCTCCATGTTTGGTCATAACCCTGGCTCTTCGAGTGTGTCTTGGAAAGGACAGCATGGAGCCTTCAGGGATGAATTAAACTTTCAGATCAAGTGAGGGGGAACTTGAACTCAGGGACAGCAGGGAGTCACATAGGAAGTCCTAGCCTTTGTACACTGGGGTGGCAACTCCCTGGAACCAGAATCTTCTCACCCAAGGTTCCTATTCTGGAAATTTCCTCAGCAATTGAGCAACACCGCCACCGCCACTGCTCCCAAAAACACACAGACCTTGGTCTCTTCTCCTCAGATACCCCCCCCCACCTTCATCAGTCTGAAGAGGTAACCAGTACAGAGACACCCCAAGTATCACTTACCTCACTTCAGGCATCCACCACAGGCAGGGCAGGGGAGAGAGCAGAGCACAGAGTGAGTGTGAACACAGTATATTGCATACACAGGCGCTGAACACTGTGAACAACTCAGGGGCAGGTGGTAGCATGCCAGAGAGGAATCAGAATGGGCAGGAGGACCAGGGTGAGGTTCAGCAGAAGATAAAAGCCCACCCACCCTTTGGGTCCCTGGATGTCCGTATTGGAAGGGGGTCCTTGGCAGTCCGGGAAACTTGGTGGGAAGCCAAACAAACCTCGCCAGAGGTTGTGGTGACTCAAAAGCTTCTATCTCTGAGTTGGTGGGTGAATTCTCAAAGCCTCACCTGCTGGGCCTGGGTGAAATGGTGGCCAGGCACATCAATGGGCTAGGTCAGTGCGGACAGGCCAACTTAGAAGCCCAGGTCATAAGGTTTCCCAGGGCCTTCTGGGACAGTGAGTTCTGCTCAATGGCTGGGAGGACGCCTGGTCACTTGAGGCGCCACCTAGTGTTGGCCCAGGCACCTAGGACATCCCTGACTTAGGATCTGGTCTCCTGGGAGTAGCTTATGGGGGTGAATGTGGTACCCCAAGTGTGCCTCCCAGGAGTCCCTGGTGAGGGGGAAACAACTTACACTTCCGGCATGGTGGCGGTTGGACAGCACCTAGAGGACGAAGGGGAGCATTAATCAGGAAAGCTGAGCCTCCTGCTCCCACCCACCCAGCCAGCAGCTGACCCAGGGTCAGCAGCACAGCCTGAGAGAGTTGAAGGAATCTGACAAAACAGATCCCAGCCAGGTAGGGATCGGCAAACTGTAGCCCCCAACTAGCCTGTTTTACTTAAGAAAATACAAAATGCATTGACACAAACCCAGGACCCCATCAGGCAACAGAACAGAACATCATAGGAAACACGGTTAGGAAGCACAGATAGGGCCCACACTTGAGGGCCTTGAGCAAACTGAATTTAGGCTTCATCCCGTTAGTGAGACTTAGGAAAAGGAGGGGTGAGGTGAATGGAGCAGAGTGGAAGCTGACAGCAGGTCGCTATCCCATAGCACAACTCAACTCCAGGGGGCGCCATTTAGCAGATGCCTGGCAGTCCTGGATTTGGAGGTACCAGGTCCTCAGTGAAGAAGGGTAGGCCAGGAGGCAGGGAAAACCTGTTAGACGCATATCTATGTTTACCCTCTCTGGACCAGTTTTTTCCCCCCCCTGCAAATTTAGAGGCAGGATAAGTGGTTTACCACTCTTGAATCTTTGTTCAAAGCAGATTTTCCTTGGAGGCAAAAGAAGCTCAGTGGGTTGGGCAGAATGGCCCTGGTGGGAGGGGTTGCTTTGGGAACCGTGTGTGGAGACATTTTCCATGTGGAGCACAGACAGAAGCCCCCTGACAGGTGGCCTCTGGGGCGCAATCCAGAAAGGGTCCTTGAGGCTGTAGAAGAGCAACATCTCACCCTCCCCGCCCCAATCTTCCTGGAGCCCAACCTAATGCACCTCAGAAGAGGCACAGGAAAGATTGTACACCTTAGGGGGAGTCAACTGGGGTAGGAACCGAAGCGCAAGGTGGGGTCAGGAAGCCTGGGCTAGGTTACAGGTGTGGGCTAGGAGGACCGACGTGTATGGAGAGGCTGAGTGTGGAAGTCAATGTTTGCAGCTTGGATTAGATTCAAGAACCAGGATTGCAGCAAAATCTGCTGCCTGAGAACTGCATCCCTGAGTCTCTCCTTCCCCTTGTGCAAGGAAGACACTCCTGAGCCCATGATCAGGCTGCACTTCCTTTCCACCCCCCTTCCCACCGCCATCAGCGAGCCTCTGCCATTGCAGGGAGTGGGGCTGGAGTGGAGCAGGTGGAGGAGAGGGAGGGGGACCCCAGAGTCTCAGCTGTCTCCGTGGGGCATAGAGGGAGAGGTGTGGAAGCAACTCCTACATTCCCTAGATGCTTGGCTGAAATTAGATTTTATAAGCAGCTGCTTATTCTGAGAGCTCTGCTCCTCTGAAGACACTGAGGAAGTCCAGAGAACTGCTAGCCCTGCCCCCATGGGTGTCTTTGCTCTGGAAATGCCAGTCTCCAGGGAGTGCCCTGTCTCCCCGGGCTGTGCCTCACCCTCAGTGGGCGTCTGGGTACAGCAACCCTCCCTCTGTCCCTCAGATCCCACTGTCGCCAGCGTGGGGCCCACCTGCTAGGGCCAGTGAGGTCTCCTGCCAAGCTCCCAGGCTTGCCCCCTGACAAATGCCAGACCAAGGGGTCCCGTGTCAGCGTTGGCCTGCGCTCTGACACCCACCAGACAGGACCCCTTGACAGGCTCTGTGGAGAAGAAGCAGAGACCCGATAAGAAGCCAGGATGTAGATAGCGGCAAATAGGAGGCTTGAGAGCAGATTCCATGTCCAGTGTGAGTGCAGAGCGAGAAGACAGAAAAATCCACCATGCCAGGGTGGGCAGAGGCTCTGGTGCCTGCCTCCGGTGCTGACATCCCAACCCGAATCCTGGGGCAGTGGGTGAAAGCTGAGTGTGTAAGTACAAGTATACATGTGATTGTGTGTGTGTGTGTGTGAGAGAGAGAGACAGACAGACAGACAGACAGACAGACAGAGGATAAGGAGAAAACTGACCTCTTGGCACACCTAATAGATGACACAAATACCTAGTTAGGCTCATGCTCTACTCCTCCTCTCCACCCCTGACCTTGGGCCCAATTCAAGGACATCTCCATCCTCACTAACAAAGGCTGGGCTCCCATGCCCACCACCCTGGCTGCCCGCCACACTCCACCTCGAACTCTCAGCAGAACTTAATGTAGAAACTGCAACTCTCACACCTTGGGGATGAGCTGCTTTCACCCCCACCTCAGAGACCATCCCCAAGCCCAAGCCCACCCTGCACACAGTGCCCTAGCTCATGGGGTCCCACCCCCTAATGCTGTGTCCATCCTCCCCTCAACAGCTGGCCTTCCACTCCTCAGATCCCGGGGTGGTGAAGAAGGATCAGGGCCCACCTTCACCCCCTTGTGCTACTGTACAGGTAGGAGGGGCAAAGGGAGCTGAAGGTGCCCCTCAAAGACAAAGACCAAAGTGACCAAATGGGCTCCTGGGGCGGGGGGCTGGAGAGAGGGCTCTGGTCCTGGGGACTCGGGGTACGTTGAACCCCTTTCATTCGCGTGCTCATCTGGTCCCTCCTAAGCATCCTAACACAGCCCCCCTCTCTCCACCTGCCCATCCCCAGTGCCGTCCCCTCCCCCTGGCTGGGTCTGTCTCTCAAGAGATGGTAAGCACTGGGCTCCGCTTTCTGCCCCCTGACTCTGGGTCTCCAGGGCAAGGCCCTGCCTCCCTGCCAGAACCATCCTGCAGGAGAGATGGCGTTCCACATGACATCCAACAAAGCCACCTCCAAGACGTCCATCTCCAAGACCTCAGTTCCTCCTTAAACAAAAGCCCCAGCTTCTCTACCTGGCCTTGACCCACAGCTGCCAGTGCCAGGCTTCAGACACTTACCTTCAGTCCTGACTCTCCCTGCAGACTACAGAGTGCGGGACCGCGCCGAGGGCAGGCTATGAAAACTGTGACCCAAGGCAACTGGCCAGTAAAAATAGAACAGCCTGCGGCCCCTCTGCTGCCCCTCCTCCCCAGGCCCTCCCCCCACACCCCTCACAGGGCAGTGGGGCCCTGCACACGACACACACACACACACACACACACACACACACACAATCCTGCACACACAGGTGTGGGTGCCACCAGCACCCTCCTGGGGTGAAGGGAGAGTGAACAGCCAGACTGGGTCCTGAGCACTGAGTGGAGATGGGCCACGGAGGAGAACGAAGGGGGCAGAGGAGCCAGTGGGGCTAGGGTAAGGAAGGCATCAGGCTGACCCTGCCTCCTACAGGGAAACACAGAGATCAGGCTCCAAAAGCCTCAGGAGATGGAAGACTTTCCGGGATGATTTGTGGCTCAGGAGGAGGCCGGGGAACATGTCCTGGAGCCAGCGGTGGTAACGGGGCCGCATCGTTCGTGCTCATGGAAGTCTGAGAAACGGCAGGCACTCCACACTCCCTCCAGGTGGGCCTCCTGGAATCATTCCATGTCTGGAACTCAGAGAGACTTACCTCACCTCTCCCTGCCTAATCTTCCTCTCTCACCAGAGGCCAGCTGACTCCAGGAAGGCTGGGGCCACACCTGTTGGCGGGGTATTTTTAGGACTGTTGATGAACACATAATACCCAGCCTATAGTCAGGGAAAGACAATGCCTGCTATGTTAATCCCCGTGGCTATTATAGTCGGTCATGTCATGGGCCAGGATCCCAGCCTGGAGCAGGGCAGGCAGGACACTGACTCCTCTGGAAGGTCAGCAAGGGGCCTTACAAGCTTCCAAACATGAGGAACACTGACCACACTCTATGCTGGAGAGGGAGAGAGCTAGTGGCAGGGGTGACACATCCCTAGTGCCCAGAGGGAAAAAGGCCCTGTGGACATCCTGGTCTCAATGCTGGGAGAGACTCGGGGGAAATGATGCAGTCTGGGAGGAGTTTGGAGTCAGAGGAGGAATCTGGGGGCTGAAGAATGTGCATTGGCTTTTTAGGGTTATAATATATACAGTAACTTTCTTATAAGACTAACATATTCCTGGGACAAATTGTCAATATGAATTGTCCTGCTTTTTGAAAAGGAAAAAAAATCACATTGATAAATAAAAACACAAAAGAATCAAGGCAGCTGGGTACTGGTGGCTTGTGCCTATAGTCCTAGCTACTCAGGAGACTAAGATCTGAGGATCACAGTTCGAAGCCAGGCTGGGCAAGCAAGCCCATGAGACTCTTATCTTCAATTAACCACCCAAAAGCCAGAAGTGGAGATATGGCTCAAGTAATAGAATGCTAACCTTGAGCAAAAGAGCTCAGGGACAGCATCTAGACCCTGAGTTCAAGCCCCATGAAAAAAAATTAATTCACATACACACACACACATGCACATACGCACACATGTACACACGCACGCGCACACACAGACACAGGTTCTGGTTCTGAGGAATCAATAAGAATAAAAGAGCTCCAGGACCAGCACAGTAAAGGAAGAAGAAGAAGAGGATGGAGGAAAAAGAAGAAGAGTAGGAGGAAAAGGATGAAGAGGAGGTAGGAAAGGGAAGAAAGAAGGGAGGAAGGGAGGAAGGGAGGAAGGGAGGAAGGAAGGAAGGAAGGAAGGAAGGAAGGAAGGAAGGAAGGAAGGAAGGAAGGAAGGAAGGAAGGAAGGAAGGAAGGAAGGAAGGAAGGGGGAGAGAGGGAAGAAGGAGGGGGGAGAGAAGGAGGAAGGGAGGGTCGGAGGGAGGGAGGGAGGAGGGAAGGAAAGAAGGAAGGAAGGAAGGAAGAAACGAAGGAAGGAAGGAAGGAAGGAAGGAAGGAAGGAAGGAAGGAAGGAAGGAAGGAAGGAAGGAAGGAAGGAAGGAGCAATGCAAACCTAAAATTAGGTGACCAAATGTTCACAGCTTTATTTGGCAAATGCAAGCCACCTGGGGGCCCTCCTCTCAAAGGGTCTTGGGGTTAAGAGTCATTCACAGATTGGACAGAGTGGGGCCTGGACCCCTTATCCTGGTTCCCAGTGTCCTGATTCCACTCCCCCCCAAACACAGGTGGTTTCCAAAGTGCAGCTCTCCACCCTCCAGTCTACCCA